CGTAATCTAGCACTATCTATTGCCAATATTTTTTGTCTCGCCAGGTCCCACGGAAGATGGGCTTGATGCCTTGATCAACCCAGTAAAGAGGTAATGTTCGTGGACCTACCACTGCCACCGCCAGTTCATCATCGCCACCTCCTCGAGTCAGAATGTACTACGTGTTCAAACGATTTGACAGTGCAGTTGAAGGTCCAATGTTTCCTCGTAATTTATTCAAGGACAATAAAATTAATTATATGGTGCCAAAATGTCAATGGAATGATTACAAAAATTACATATTGATCGAAGTTAAAGCGCAGGGCTGCTGAATCAGAAAATAAATTTTGAACGTTTGGCGTACGTTCCTAAGCCACCTCGGGCCACCGTTTCGTTGCCGGTCACCTGGCCCCTACTGAATGGCATAGACATTACGGCAAGCCCGCATAGCGAGACGCGCTCTACGTTTGAGAAAAAGCCGGGCAAGGCAGTAGATGCTCGTTCTACGGAGAAGATATGAACGTCATAACCAGCAGCTGGAAAGGATGTAAGCGACAACAAACTCTGTACTAGCCGACCTTCGAGCCCAGGAATTAATTGTCGAGGCTATTGAGAACGAGCATCGAGAACTACGACGCACTGATGCCATCTTCACCGCCAATCGTGAGAGAAGAAGGCGCTTGTTTCAACAACTGCAGGGGGAATTTGGGAATGCGGCTGATGGCGGACCATAAGCAGCGGACCAAGAAGCAGCGGACCAAAGAGCCGGCACGGACGAAGATGACGCAGCCGAATGAGGAAATTGAGTTAAACAATTTTTGATTGTAACGTAATTAATTGTAACGTAATTGATTGTTTTGATTGTAACGTAAAAATTTTCATTGTTCATTAAATAAGAAAATAAAACTGTTCATTTAGGCTCTTTTATAATAAATTTGTTCATTTGGGCTTTTTTATTATTATCACTTATTAGGAAATGTTTCAGACAGAGTGCGAAATAATGGGTAACAAATTATTTAAAATCAAATTTTAATTGTTCCCACTTCCCAGGTTGCATGGTAAAAAAGCGGAAATATTTAAATATAATGTAATAAATATTTCACAAAAAATGCCTTTGTCCCCGGAACATGGACGATGACATCTAATTAAAGTACATGTCTATTCTGGTCGCACAGCGGTCAGATTCCCACATTTACGTACATTACCCGAGAATTTGTTTTCAGAATTATTGATATTAAACGAGACGTTGCAGACAGGCAGTAACCAGTTTATTATTAATAATAATAAAAATTATTATTAAATAATTATACTTAATTGATTTATACTCCTTACAGTTACGCCCAACAGCAAAAAAAAACATAAGTAAGAAATACTTGACATATAACCTCGTCAAGCAATGAGATAAAGATCAAATTAAAATTATTTGATCTGTAGCTATGATACTCACGAAATGGCCATAAACCGCGACTCCTCTGACGAATTCAAAACGCGTCGTCATTGAATTCGTTCGACATTGAATTCATTTTCAGTGAAAGTTGCAAAAAGGAAAGCTGCTCATCGTTTTTTGGTCTTCGTTGCCGGTCACCTGTCCCCTACTGAACCTACGGAATGGCATAGACATTACGGCAAGCCCGCATAGCGAGACGCGCTATACGTTTGAGAAAAAGCCGGGCAAGGCAGTAGATGCTCGTTCTGCGGAGAAGATATGAACATCATAACCAGCAGCTGGAAAGGATGTAAGCGACAACAAATTCAGTATTGGCCGAGCTCAGAGCCCAGGAATTAATTGTCGAGGCTATTGACAACGAGCATCGAGAAGTACGACGCAGTGATGCGATCGCCACCCGCAATCGTGAGAAGAAGGCGCTTGTTTCAACAACTGCAGGGGGAATTTGGGAATGCGGCTAATGGCGAATAAGCCGGGGACCAAGAAGCAGCGGACCAATAAGCCGGCACGGACGAAGGTGACGCAGCCGAATGACGAAAATGAGTTAAACAAAGTTGACGACTCTTCATAGAAATAGCACTTTTGATTGCGACGTAAAAATTAGTGAAATTATATCTGATAGAAAACCAATTATTCTTTTCTAATTGATTGTTCATTAAATAATAAAATAAAATTGTTCATTTAGGCTCTTTTATAATAAATTTGTTCATTTCTCACAACAGTGCCGCATCCTAATCTTACAGTCGTGAACTTGATGAGCGAACACTTGAGAATTATCCAGAGTCACCGGCATTACCGATCAAAACCGTGGTCCGGTTCAGATCCTCAGGACCTGAAAGCTATGTCGACATTTGGTCAAGAAGCACCTAATTTCAAAACCCGATGCCTTAGCCCTGAGGAAAAGCGCTCTTCCTCGTTTTAGACTTGTATCATTCCAGATAAAGGGCAACCCCTCATTACCAAAGTTCCAAGAGATATACTCGAGGAAATGAGGGATTAATTCGTTCAAAGTTGGCCTCGAGGCATGAACCACTTTTAGAACACAACTTTTATATTTAGGAAAGTACCACCGAAAGGAAACAGTCTTTGCGGACTATGTTTGGATAGCATGCTAGAATAATGGTCTACTAGTGTCATTTCTCCTTCTTCACAGTTTGGATACAGTCGTGATCTCTTTTTCTTGGCACTGAAATTATTATAGTGACTTCTTGGATCATCTCCAGAACCATAAGGGGAACAATCAATGCCAATCTCGGCCGTGTTGACAGTCCTTGTCAGCGTCGTGTTCCGTGAATTAATAGCTTACTTGGTCCCGGTTCAGTAGAACTGGTAAATTAGTAACTATATCAGAGGTCCCGGTCGTCTCGCTTTTTACTGGGTCGTCTCGCTTTTAACCACCGAGACACATGGGGGATGTCCCGGTTCACAGCGAGACAACCGGAAGTCAAGTTTACGAGCCCCAGACTCGACAGGCTCTGCCTTGAGAGAATCCAAGCCCAGGAATGGAATTTGGAACGGTTTGAATTCAGCAACTGTAGCACTGTCCTGCTCAGATGGAAGAAATGTTACGAAATGAATTTAGTCTGAATGTTGACTTGCTAAATAAGTATTTGGGAGAACTAGGGCTAATCAGATGAATTTACTAAATTTCACAACTGACGTGCAAATTTAAGTCACTTTCATGGCAGTTCATTTTTCTACTAATCAATATATTCTAAAGACCGCGTTTATGGAAGACCTTGAGCATTTTTAATAAGCATTTTACCACATCTCTCAAGCCTTCAACTCTCCTCCACCAGAGGAGGTCGAAATGCTTGGCCCGGGACTGTCTAGCAAGTCCCGGTTAAAAGCGAGACGGGACCTCTGATATAGTGCATCATCCATGCCGGACTTTATGGAAATATGCACATGTACAAACGGTTTCGAAAGCCAGTTGTATATGGTTTAAAGTTCAACTTCAGCACATCAACAATATCAGCTTTGACCTTGTGACGTCACAAGGTTAAAGTTGTTCATGGGTTGGACCCTACGTTTTTGCAATATCTCGCCCCCGGTTGCAGAAATTACTTGTATCTCTGTGAAAATTGGTCAAACTACTCCCCAAACCTGGTATGTTGTAGTCCTCATCAGCGCAGTCATTTTGATACCAAAATTAGCTAGCTACTACGATTCTTACAGTTTCAGCTCATATTTGACGTTGAGTCGAGCGTCTACAAAACTTACATACGACTTTAGCCCATCTTTTAGTGCCCAATTCTGAGTAAGAAGAAATATTGTAGACTTTTTGATGCAATTTCACCGTGAAGGCATATATAAACAATTTTAAGGAATGAAAAGAAAATGCGTCAATATCGTCAGCAGCATCATCGCCATGATCGAAAAACAGAGAAATGTGTCAACAAAGTCTTCATATTTTCATGACATAACAACATGTAATAAGGATTCTTCCTATCACACACTTACTTCTTCGGAAGTTCTTCGACGGCTCTTGTTATGACTTGGCGCGCCTCGACTTGGATTAGGTAGTGTTCAATCTTGTACAGCAGTTCTGACGTATCTCCCAGCAGCCTACTCAGGTCATGTTTCGCAGTATGTCCCAAGAAGGGCTCTTCACGACATGGGGGTGGACGATCTTTTTTTATCCGCTGATGATGCGCTGAGACGTTTAGAAAAACGTCTACTCCACTCAGTGTGACCCTTCCAGAGCTAGCTTCAGCTTCGTCGTCCTCCTCGACGTCTAATTCTTTTGGACGTCATGACTTTTCTTGGGAGGCACCTCTCTGGGTCCGTCGCCTCCTGAACGTGCTATCCGTGCCAGGCGTTTCTGCCGGCACTGGGCCACCCTGCCCTACTGTGATGCTTCACGTGACTCTAACAAGAAACGAATTGGAAATAATCGCGTGATCACTTCGCGTTGCACAACTAACCCAATTGCACGTCGATGATATATCATCTATTAGATGGGAATAAAACGAGAACCTTGTGAATATGAATACCGAAAACGTTACCAGGGTTAAACGGGATATTAACATGATGGCTGACATCGGCTAACTTTTTGAGAATCGTCCTAAACATGAAGTCCACATAGAGTATATTGTAGTTACAGGACTGCTTCTGCACCAACATTATGACTGCATACATGAACACTTCAGTCTACACTATTTTAATGACACTAAATGCCAATGATTATAGGTATGATAATAGGTATAGGTAGGCTCGTAGGCCGATTATAGGCTATAGGTTATAGGCTCGTAGGTATGATTACAGCTCGTTACTAATAGTTGAAGAATCTTTCGAATTTTTCTGGATAAGCGACTACTCGACCTCTTCGACGTTTATGTCTGGCTTCCACACGTGAGCCGGACGCGCCGGAGTATATGGTTTAAAGTTCAACTTCAGCACATCATCAATATCAGCTTTGACCTTGTGACGTTACAAGGGTTGTTCATGGGTTGGACCCTACGTCCAACGAATTTCTGACTTCAAGATTTTCTCTGGGACCCTGATGTTAAGGGATTTCCCCTTAATTTCTTCGTTTACAGCATTGAAGAAGCTAAAGCTCGCAAGAGTCAAGATGGCCCTTCCTGGACATGATTTGATTGTAAATAGTTTATTGAAAGGAAACGCCGTCTTCGCCATTATTCTTGCTTCGAACTTCATTCCTATCATCATCATTCCTATTGACACATCATCATCCGGGCTCATTCCTCCGGCCATTGCAAGGCACGAGACCCGCACGACTGCTGTGAAGCACCATGATTTGACTCTGGATTGTCTATCCAGAGTCACCATGATCGACCCAGACGCCATGACCGCAGAGGCGAGTGACATACGTGCGCTCGTCTTAAGTAATTAAGATCTATTTCAGGGCCCTTCCTTCCCTTGCTTAGCCTCCACTTTTCGATGGGTAGACCATGGGGCTCGGCTAGTCTAAGAATATGTTCCAGACTGATCAGGATTTGTTCGACGTTGACGTCGCACGAACCGCAACACTCTTCTAAGGCTTCTTTCTTCGGGCAGCACCTGGCGCATGTGATGAAAAGTCTTGTCAGCAGGTCGTTCTTTTTCCATCGCACGTATCCAGCAAAGCACGTTTGGGGTCAGAACTAGGCCGGTCTCTGATCGACTACGATCCTCTTTCGTTCATGATTGGTGAACACGTCCGTTCACATCATCATCCGGGCTCATTCCTATTGACACAACATCATCATTCCTATTGACACATCATCATCATCATTCCTATTGACACATCATCATCATTCCTATTGACACATCATCATCCGGGCTCATTCCTCCGGCCATTGCAAGGGCTCATTCCTCCGGCCATTAGGATCATGGTGCCAAGGGCCTTACAGTCAATCTCAATCCGCAGTGGCCAGCCGGAAGAAGAGATTGGTCGAAAATATGAGACTTGCAAGTCAAGCCAGGGATTGAACTACCAGCCAAGCCATAGTATTCGAAAGTATTCAGTATGGTAAGCAATTAAGTAATGCTAGGATAAAGAAAAATTGGGTCTGGATTTATAGATCTTGTGGTTAAATGTAGCAAAAATATCACGCACTGTCTAAAAATACATTATCCGTCGTAGACGTTATTCCTTCAATGATTCAAAAAAGGTGACAAAAGCTGCCCGGGCAACTATCGCCCTGTCAGTTTGACAAGTGTCGTTTGCAAGGTAATGGAATCTGTTGTGAAGGATCGATTGATAGATCATTTGACTGCTAATAATCTCCTATCAGACTGTCCTATGAGGAAAGATTAAAGATTATGAAGCTTCCAAGCCTCCATTATCGACGTCTGCGTGGGGACCTCATTGAAGTATACAAGTATACTCATGGCTTATACAAGGTCCAAGAAGGATTACTAGAATTTGAAACAAGAACCAACACCAGGGGCCACGGCTACAAACTAAAAAAACAGCGTTGGAAGTTCGGAACACATCCATGCGACAACATTTCTTCTCGCTTAGAGTCACCGATATGTGGAACAGCCTCCCTGATAGCATCGTTGAAGCTCCGAGTATGAACATCTTCAAAAACAGACTAGACGAAGCTATGCAGGAGCATATGTTCAGTCTTAAATGCCTAGCAAATTACGGATCAGGCAATAAGTCCAGCAGCTATCTCAATCAATTGTCAGCTATGGAAAGATCGGGTTCCAAAGGCCGGATCCCTAGTGAATCAAGTCACGAAAAGTTCAAGAATCGGCAACAGGCCATGGGCCTATTTATTCAACACCGACACTTCTATTCTAATACAGGGTACCGGTAAACATTACTCGCTCGCAAAAGTGAAAATTGAATGTTGATGCATATATTTCGATTGTAAAGTATTATTTCCCTCAGTTTTAATCTTAAATATAATAACTTTTCTCACAGTAGCGACTTTCGCTAGTGATGCTCAAAACCTTTTTATAGCAGCATGTCGAGAAATGTGTCAGCTTCAGTTGCTACATCTCACCATCTCGATGAATGATTCACACGAAATGTTAAAATATTTAGGTAGTTGCGTGTATTTTTGCGTGTATTTTTGAGATGTCAAGTTGGTTTTAAAAATTTGAACTGACAATTCTGGTTGGTTGGGGCATAAGTAAAAATTTTTCTGCTTACACATAACACTTATAACATAAGGAACGAACATCAATCGCCATAAATTAAAAAAATTCGCCTTAAAATGATGTTAGGATCCCTAAACGGAATAAAATGAGTTTTGAAAGAGCATGGAACTTTTCGTAGTATTTCAACCGGATTCACTCAGTAATTGTAAAAATTCGTCATCGAAAATTCGCCCGCCAGGATATAACATCGCAACAGGCCCAAATGGCGCAGACTTCGAGATAATCCCGAGTAGCTCGTAGAGCTTTAAGAATAAGAATAAATCGAGCAAATGAGTTGCTGAGGCAGTTGGAGCTGACACTAGCCGAAAGAAACGTGGCTATGGAGAGAGCCGCGGCCGAGAGATAGTCTGTATAGGCGGAAGTGACTGCCCAACGTGGGACAGTTCAGCAAATCCAGAACTGCGGAAAGCGAGGCAAAATGATGCGATTGCTCTACGAAAACGAAACCGCAATCTTCAACTTCTTTAACGACTGCGAAGGCAGTACATCAATGCGGCGCAGGCTCCGCCAGTGATGGATTAAGCCGGGAATTAAGAGAAAGCAGCGCAACATGATCGGCAAATGGCGAGGAAGGCGACAGTGACGCTTGATGATTTCATTTTCATGCCAGTCAAGTTCTGAAACAAAACTTTCGCCTGAGTTACTATAGTCCACAAGGAAACTACAAAATTAATAATGGCTACAACCTACAAATAACATTTCTGAAGATAACAAGCTCGTCTGTGCGAAGCGCATCCCGCTCAACAGTGAGACGTTGCGCTATCTTGGACCACTTAACCTAGCCGCGTAGCCGACGAGAGTGTGATGCTTTGAGTTCACCGCTGGCAAGACACTGATTCTCTAATTCTGCTGATGTTTCACGGGAGGCGAGGCGATCGTGTACAGTCGAAGACAAAATCATTACAACTAAGAATTTTCGGTCAGTTGCATTCCTGTCGCATGACTGGTTCTATAGATGGTTTCGCAAAAGCAAAATTGCTCACATTATTTACACCATATAGTAATTTTAGTAAGTATGCACTCTTAAAGTTGTCGGTATTAGTCTAACACTAACAGAAGATAGTCCAAGAGAATTCAAATCTCTGTGGTAGATGACTAACTACTGATGCTCATAATACAAACGTCTATTATGTCCGATTAGTTAAAGCCCGCGCCACTAACACGCTCGACTACATTGTAAACCAGGCTTCTTGCGAGGATTGTTCTGAATAGTGCGTGCAACTGCTGCCTCTGACTGTACTCCGACGCGACTTAGCAACAGTCGACGCGGATCAACGAGTTTGGGCGCCCTCTTTCAATATTCATCTCCTTATTGAGTCGTTCGATTATCATGTAACGAATTCAAAGCTTGAGACGCAGCTTGACGAGCACTTGCGGGAACAGGAAATTGTGTACTGCCGGAGTGAGAATATCAATTTATTCATCACCATTGACCGAACGATGAATTCGAGCTTAGAGCAGAAACCTCGAGTCGTAAGATGATTAAATAAAACGCGAAACTTGTGGCAACTAGAGGCTATCAATCAGCCGAGTATTAATCCTACCGTTAGTAACTAACCCAAGACATCATCTTGTTTTAAATATCTAGAGCATTAAGGCACTATATTCCGACGCCTATAGCCCAGAGTGATGATCGTCCAACACTGAACGTTACATCCAATTGTCACCGGCCAGAACTGCTCCAAGCTAACTAAGGTTAGTTGAACTTACAGTTTGCTACTATCAGGGACAGGGAGCGAACTCTTGTAGCTCAAGCTCCAGGCCAGGACAATATGAACTTCAAGCAACTGTACGTCAATTATCCAACACCGGCCAGAACTGCTCCAAGCTAACTAACGTTAGTTGAACTTACAGTTTGCTACTATCAAAGGCGAACTCTTGTAGCTCCAGGCCAGGACAATGTATAAATGAATTTCAGGCCACTGTGCTTCACTTATCCAACCTACAATGCCTTCTCTAACTCTCCTAGTCAGCGCATAGGTGCTTATACACGGGGCTATTAGTTGCGTCTACAACAGTTTTGCAGGCTGAGATCCTATACACGAGTATAGGGTTTTCGGTACACAGCCCGCGACAGTGCGACGTGTAAAGGTTTTGCACGGTGGAGGCATGCGAGAGCACGACAGCAGTGGGCGAGAGGGAGAGCGACGCAGCTGTACTTGGTATGACGGCCGGGCCGCTACTGAGCCGTGAGCGCCTCAGCGCAATCGAGGATTCGAGGTATCTAGCAGTGTTGCCAGGTTTTTTTCTTGGCGAGAATACCAGATTGCCTCGCTCAAAATACCAGAAATTCTATTGTTCAAAAACAGACTAATACCTCTAAATTTAATGAAATTATTCGTCAGAAACGTTGGTTAGAAAAAGAAGAGAAAATTATCTTATGTACTGTGCATTTATCTGGCTTGACGACAATTAGCCAAATTGAACACGTTATATTTTTCCCTCGCTTTGAAACATTTTGGCACTTTTCTTTCCCTCTGTTTGATTACATTGCCACTGTTTCCCTTTTTTATCACAGTGTGGCATTTCTTCTCCTTCGCTCAAAATGAGCAAGCCATGGAAACAGGTTATCTTCCTCTTGCTTATTTTCGTATATGCTTGCATAATGCGTAATCTAACATTTCGGGTTTGATCACTTGTTGCGGCTCAGCTGATAGCTCTTGGTCCGAATAAGGGACTCCAGTACCTTAGTTGAAATTTTATTCCGTTGCTTGTTTTTCACATGGGTGACTTATGAAAACACTTGCTCCCACGAATGCATGGTAGACAGGTCAAAGTAGACAAGTGATGTAGTAGGCAGCCAGTTCCATGAATGAATGATTTTCAAGATCAGTGAAATGTTGAATGTCACGCCAAAATTCAAGTGGCCATCCAATAAGTGGCACTCTGGAATTCAAAACCACCAAACAAAAATGGTGGAGCTTGCGTTACAGAGATAGGTTCGATAACCTCACTCGTCGTAGGCCATATCATCACAGATCAGTATTCAGTAATCAATCAAGGCTCAACACTCTCGTGCTTATATTGCACTAAACACTTTTGTTAAATGTTAACAATTAGATTGGGGTTATTTCATCAAGCGGTAAACTTGCGGTTCCAAAAATGTCGGGAAACCTCTAGTCGCGTGACTCGCGTCGCTCTGAAGGTAATCTATATAATAAACGCCTTCGCTGGAGGAAGTTCAAACTTCAAAGTTGGAACTTAATGCAGTAAAATTGCAGTAAGTCAGAAAATTCCAGATTTTGGCAAATATACCAGACCTAAAATAATCATACCAGAGACCTGAAAATACCAGATTTGTGAAATCTGGTGCAGAAATATACCATCTGGCGACGCTGTAACGACAGTGGGCAATCAACTCACTACTGCCGCTGCCGCTAGCGCCGACCACGAGTCCACGACCAGCCGCAGTCACGCTCACGCAGTTCAGAAGTCCTAACTTAATGTACTTGGCGTGACTATACCATGCGTGCTACCTCGTAACTAAATAGCGTGTTCATAGCAGCGTTGCCAGATGGTATATTTCTATACCAGATTTCTCAAATCTGGTATTTTCAGAAGGTGTCTGGTATTAATATTTTAGATCTGGTATATTTGCCTATATCTGGTATTTTTCTGGTATTTTCTGACTTACTGCAAATTTACTGCATTAAGTTCCACCTCTGAAGTTTGAATTTCCTCCAACGTAGGCGTGGATTATATAGATTACCATCAGAGTGGCGCGACTAAAGGTTTCCCGCCATTTTTGGAACCGCAAGTTTATCGCTTGATAAAATAACCCCAATTTAATTGTTAACATTTAACAGAAGTGCTTAGTGCAAATTTGTTTCCTGCAGTCACCGACAATTTGCTTTGCAAAGAATACTGGATTTTCAATAACTGTCTAATGTCTATACGATAGAAATTCCCTCATGAAACATGGCAACTGAAGAGATGTGGTTTGTCAACCGTCGCACAAGTCCCCGCGCTGCTTAAATAATCTATTTTGCAAGGGAGCGACATAAAATGCGATGCAAGCGTAATTACTGACACTAATTATAATGAACGAAATGGGAACAATGTTTAGCATTCTTCTCTGAATGAGCATGTATAGGGTTAACTCATCCGCTCATGATAAAGATGAAGAATATTTATTTGCTTAATCAAGTAAAACGTACCAATAGTCCTTTTAAAAAAGAAATAACGAATGAATAATTGTAATGGCTAAATTAGTGCTATAAACTTAAACTGATGATTCTCGAATAGTAATGGGCTCACTCGCGTAACTCTAACGAAAATGCAATTTGAAAGCCAAATTAACCCCAGAACTGCAAATCGCGGCGCCATTCTAATTAAAAGAAGACATTTGACGTTAAGTAAGAACTATAACCGTCCTCCTCAGGCACATTAAGTGGTACCTGCAAAATCAATAGAATTATTAGAATAATTAACAACAATGTAATCGTGGATGCTGTTCCACATGTCGGTGATTCGAAGCGAGAAGAAATGTGACTGTGTTGCAACGCAGTTGCAATGAATTCAATGAGTTTACATTACAATGAGTTCGAATGAAATCATTGTTCACAATCCACAACTCAGGTCTACCGCGTAGGTGACCACCCCATCAAGTGCGTCAAGAATGAGAATGAGGTCCCAGAAGGATTACTAGAATTTGAAACGAGAACCAACAACAGGGGCCACGGCTATAAACTAAAAAAACTGCGCTGTAACTCATACACGCGACATTTCTTCTCGCTTCGAATCACCGACATGGGTAACAGCCTCCACGATTACATTGTTGACGCTCCGAGTACAAACGCGTTCACGTTCAAGAACAGACTAGATAAAGCTATGGAAAAATATATGTTCAGACTTGAAATGCCTAGCACCATATCGAACCCGGTGTAAGTCTAGTAGCTATTTCAAACTATCGTCAGCTTGGAGAAGATCCGGTCGAAGGACCTGTTTTTAGATCTCGTGTGAACAAGTCACGAAAAGTACAAGAATCGGCGACAGGCCATATCAGGCCTATTCTTCAGCGCCGACTTTACTATGCTATGCTATGCTATAATTGAATAGTTGCACGCATTGTATTCCTGATACCGTAGCTCGTAACCGAAGTTGAATGTTATATATGGTAACTATTAACATGTTTCTTCTAATCTTACAGAACACAAATGATTCCGTCCATTTCATTACCAAATAGAACGAAAACTTCCATTTGGGTAATGGGTATAAATAAAAACTATTTCGATCGAGAGCCACACAAGACTAATTAAAAGATGTTGGCAATAACGCGGTCTCTGCTGTCGCCAACACACAGCTCAGGCCTACCGCGTAGGTGACCACCCTGCCAAATGCGTCAAGAATGAGAAGAAATTTAGATTCGCACCACAATATATGAGTCATTATGTTTCATGCATTTCTGTATTCAGTCTTCGAGATGCATTTATGAAGTATTAAATGCACTACGGCAATACAAAATGTCATGAGACTCACTGCACCTGGACCTGTTATAATATAGCTTTATAGGTCGCAGCCTGAATAATAATTATGACCGACCTAGGAGTCTCCACGTAACGTTGTCCTGACTTGANTTCTTGCACTTTTCTGGACTAGTTCACAGATCTAAAAGACTTGGATTTTGATCATATCTTTTCAACGGACGGTAGGTTTGAAATAGTTTCTAGACTTTCAGTTGTTCCGTAGGGTACTAGGCATTACAAGACTAAACAAATGCTCCTGCATGGCCTTGTCTAGCCTGTTCTTGAAAGCGTTCGTACTCTGAGCGTCAGCAGTATCATCAGGAAAGCTATTCCACGACTCGAAGCGAGAAGAAATGTTGTCGCGTGGATGAGTTGCGAGCTTTTTTAGTTTATAGCTGTGGCCCCTGGTGATGGTTCTTGTTTCAAATTCTAGTAATCCTTCTGGAAACTTGTACAAACCAGGAATTTTCCCTGTTGCACGTCTTAGAACACTCTCGACTAAATTTTTGTTCTTTTCAAGTTTCGGTGACCACACAGCGTTTCCAAACTCTAGGTTCGGGCGCACGACAGCAATAAACAGCTGCTTCATCACTTCTGCACCTACATATAGAGGTACTCGTAAGAGCGTCTGATCAACCCAAGCACTTTACTGGACTTATTTACTTGCTGTTACGTATATTCGTTTGACGAAGGATTTGAATACACGATTTTTCGTTGAGTTGTCTTTATAAATCGGTTTCTGTAAACAAACAATATACAAAGGTAAAAATGGTTACATAAAATTAGTATTGCGCATAAAGGTATAATCGAGAAGTAAAATCATTTATTTCGAACATATAACACGATAAAAGTCAAATATACACGTTACACGAATCTTCAAAATTAAAACACACGTACCAAACATTTCCTTCTTTACAGTCTAGAGCCAACACCGCAACTGAAAGTCTAGATGTCTTTAAAACCGAACTAAAGTAAAATGTCAGTGATACGCATGCATCAGGCGTACGAAATACACAAGAGAAGTGAATTTGAGAACCAGGAATCCAACACTTGCGTTTCAACATGCCTAGAAAATTTTATCTCCTTGTCGACCCAAACTCCACGATCTTTTTCCACGCTAGACCTGTCAATCATAACCCTCTCGTTGCAACCGTGTCTTCTCATGCTTTAAGCTCGCTGTTCATATGTTCTTGCCGAAGTGAAGTACTCTACACTTGTCAGCAATGAAGCGCAGCTGCCACGCATCAGCCCAGTCAACTAAACTATCAAGATCATTTTGCAATTCCATTTTATTTGATGCATCCTTAACTGTATCATAAACTTTTGAGTCATCGGCATACATGGAGCACACGCTTGACCTACTTCTGGTAGATCGTTTATAAGAACAACATCTTCAATCTGAATACGTGAACATGCTTGAAACACGCAAATGTGCGAAAACGCACACATGGTTCAATTAGAAGCTGTACATGCATGACAAGCCAACGTCGGAGAAGGAACAGAATGTAAAAATGTAAGAGTGTTAGAATGCTGGGAACGTGAATACATAGGCAAACCTGACGCGAAAATGTGTACAAAGTTCACATGATACAACATCGCTTGAAGGTATGATGATTACGTACGCATATAAGAAAAAGTTTAACTGTTGAATAAGGTTTAGAAACGCATGACGAACAACACTTTCAAGATAAAAGAAGATGAAGACGATATCTTTGAGAGCGTACAAATTATTTAAAACATTCGAAATGGATGAACGCTTACGACCTGTCTCTTATACACATCTAGATGTGTATAAGAGACAGCCCCAAACCAACTTTAAGCAACACCTACCTCACTCCACAGCCTGCTGAATTAAATAGTCAATTGTCAACAGGTCCTACTCCACAGAATTTTACCCCATACAATCACTTCTTACACACGCCGTAAGCCTTACTGGCCGCAGACCACGCCGGATCACCGTAAACCTGCTCTGCTAGTTGCAGGACTGGCGTAATCCCGTCGCACTCCACAGGCTAAAGCGCAAACCGCCGTCCCTATNTACACTTGTCAGCATTGAAGCGCAGCTGCCACGCATCAGCCCAGTCAACTAAACTATCAAGATCATTTTGCAATTCCATTTTATTTGATGCATCCTTAACTGTATTATAAACTTTTGTGTCGTCGGCCTACATGGAGCACACGTTTGACACTACTTCTGGTAGATCGTTTATAAGAACAACATCTTCAATCTGAATACGTGAACATATGCTTGAAATACGCAAATGTGCGAAAACGCACACATGGTCCAATTAGAAGCTGTACATGCATGACAACAAGCCAACGTCGGAGAAGGAACAGAATGTAAAAATGTAATAGAATGTTAGAATGCTGGAAACGTGAATACATAGGCAAACCTGACGCGAAAATGTGCACAAAGTTCACATGATAGAACATCGCTTGAAGGTATGATGATTACGTACGCATATTAGAAAAAGTTTAAGTCTTGAATAAGGTACAGAAATGCATGACGAACAACACTTTCAAGATAAAAGAAGATGAAGACGATATCTATGAGAGCGTACAAATTATTTAAAACATTCGAAATGGATGAACGCTTACGACTGATAGTCATGTTCGAATGAACAATTTTCATGTGTGGATGATAAATGTATGTATATCATATATTGGCTGCAATCGGGAGGCATCTCAGGAATTGTTATCTGTCCCTGTAACGCCGAGTAATCATGCAAGATCTAAATAAAGTTATGAGTTCGCTCTATTAATATAGTTGAATTATGAACTGTCTAAAAATATCAATCGTGGACAATTTTTTACTATGCTATACAAAATGTTCTAGATGTTTGGCTCTTTGAAAATATAAAAAATTATTAATTTGTATGTATTAGTTTTAAAGTTGTATATTATCTCCTCGAGGAGGGTGCTGTAACGAATTAGTTATCTATTTTGATAACTCCGTAGTACTTTTTGAAGGCCGTATATATTACACCATAAAAAAGGCCAAGGACGGCTTAGGGAATTTCTACTAAGTCAATAAAATTTGGTCGTCAGTTACTTTATCTGACTTACAAATACTGATATTTGATTAATAAATGATTATATGAGTGACTATATGAGTGTCTATAGTGTTCGAGACTCGCAGCAAGCTATAAGAATTCTGCGATGTTAACAATCGCCGACAGGTCTAATGGTATCCATTCAATTTTAACTCGCATTTGGAAATTGGAAGCTTGCTTTGTAGTGTTTTAGTAGCTAGCTACAAATTCGCTTGGAGAAAACTGCTTTTATGATCAGAGGTCAGTAGAGTCTATAATAACGGAAATTGCATGGTCAAATTCTTGATCCAGTTTATGCAAATTTAATAGGTGCAGTTTATTTCATAACATTTTTGGTATTGCAGTTATTCACTGAATCGTTTATTAACTGGTTATATATGTTTACTGTTTTATATTTTGGTCTGCAGTTTAATTTTCCTTTTAACCTGACGCACAAAGACATCGTGAAATGTTGCGCCTTAGCAAGCTACCTGAATTTTTTGGATTTTTATCATATAATTTTTTGGTTTTAATCGAAGAATGTGCGAGAAATTTATTGCAGACTAGGGCAACTATTTGCGATTTTTTTAAGAGGCGGTATTATTACCTATACGTGCTAGAATTTTCGACAAAATAACGACCAGCGACCAGGATCTAACCCCACATTAAATAGATTCTGATGAGTTATCCTGACGCAATAACAGTTACGTACAACAGCGTCCTATAGTTACGCAAGTAGTTTGAACATTCAAAGTAATGGAAGGAAAATATGTACAGATTAGGCTAAGACTGTCTACTAGTGAGACTAAGAGAGAAGAGTTGATTCCGAGTCTAGATTTTATTGGTAATTCATTTACAAGCCAAAGCGTCTTTCCGAATATCAGGAGAACCTATACATTTCAGTATATTTTTATTACAAACAATTAATGGATCTTTTAAATAGTTATTATAGTCACAAGAAGTGCTGGTGAATAATGCATCATAGAAAAGCTCCAAGAAGTAACAAACAATTCATTTTAAAATTGATGTGGAGGACAAATAACTTTGAAAAGCGAAACGGCTGAAAGTCTTACAATCGAATGTAATGGAATAACTTTTTCCCTTAAAAAT